TCTCTGAGTGTATTTCCTGATGCAACTGAGCAAGCCACTGAACATGTATCTTTCCCTGATAGTGTTGAAACCCTTGATGCTGAAGTCAGTGGCGGGGAAAGTGAAACTGAACAGCCTGATGAGAATGTTTTGGAATCAGGCCGTGATAGCTCTCCAGAGGGAATCACACCTGGGTTTTTTAATGAGGACCGAAGGGAACAGATTTGGAAAAACAGGAGTGAATCACGGTTTCTACGAAGGTCAAATGGATTACGGGAGAGGGAGGCTTCAAAGTCTGGAGGCGTTTCAAGAAATAGTTTCTTTGGTTTAAGGGGCCTCCCCCCGGTTGTCTCATTAGATCAAGCAACGTTTTAGACTGAGGCAGCACCTTGGCAGTTTTCCTGCGTTCCATGGCCTGCATTCCCAGAGGCTTCTAGTTTTCAAGTATGGTTAGTGATGCTAACAGGTTCCTGGTGTCTGTATTGTTGTTTTTGGAATTTTGCTCAAGTTCAAAGATTTTTCCTGACTGCTGAGTTTCTACTGTGGCTTTTTGACTTTGCATTTACTTTTCTTTTGTAACCATTTTTCATCAATAAAAAAGGATTGTTTTTCTCACAGTCCAGTGTGGTGGATTGAATCTTATGGTCTCGTTTCCTGATCTGGGATGCAACAGGGAGTCCCATCTTCCAATGGTATATTGACATATCTCTGGTTGTACAGACCCATTTAGTTTTCATGGCAAGAATACTGGGGTGGATTGCCATTACCTTCTTCAGGGATCGTATTTGGTCTGATCTCTCTGCCATGACCTTTCTGTCTTTGGTATCCCTTCACAGTTTCACTCATGGCATCATCGAGGTGCTCAAGCTCCAGCACCACGACAAGGCAACGATTCTTTGCAGGAGATTGCAGGTATAACTCAACATAAAGTACTTGTTGGAGTTCAGCCTGTGATTGTGTTTCAGGATCAGGGTGCTTTGGATATAGGGAATGGTGTTAATGAGGTTCAAGATGAGTTTCAAGATAGCAGTGATATTGATGCAGAGAATGACCAGGAGATCCCATGTTTCCCATGATAATGTCCATGAGGGGTGTGGGGATGCACCTGCAGAAATTAATGAGCAAATAGATGACAAGCCAAGAGAGAAAATAGATAATGAGCCAAGAGATAGATGAGAAGAGATCAGTCAAGAGATAGATGAGAAGAGATTGGGGTTGGAGGACATCCAACCCCAAATTGGGAAAGAAGTCGTCCAGGAATACCTGGCCGCTCTTAATGAGTTCAAGTCCCCAGGGCCAGATCAACTACACCCCAGAGTATTGAAGGAACTAGCGGAAGTCATTTCGGAACCATTGGCAACCATCTTTGAGAGTTCTTGGAGAACGGGAGAAGTTCCAGCAGATTGGAGGAGGGCCAATGTGGTCCCAATCTTCAAGAAGGGAAAAAAGGATGACCCAAACAACTACCGTCCGGTCAGCCTCACGTCTATATCGGGCAAGATTCTGGAAAAGATTGTTAAGGAAATGGTCTGCAAACACTTAGAAACAAATGCGGTCATTGCTAATAGTCAACATGGATTTATGAAAAACAAGTCATGCCAGACTCATCTGATCTCTTTTTCGATAGAGTTACAAGCTGGGTAGGTGCGGGAAATGACGTGGATGGAGCATACCTGGATTTCAGTAAGGCCTTCGACAAGGTCCTCCATGACCTTCTGGCAAGGAAACAAGTCCAATGTGGGCTAGGCAAAACTATGGTGAGGTGGATCTGTAATTGGTTAAATGGACGAACCCAGAGGGT